TTTTATATATCTTTCCTGAAAGCTGCCAAAATATCAGAGATAAAGCATAATAAAACACATTTAAAAATCCATTATAGTGACTATATGCAAAATCCGAGGTTTTCTGCATGAGTAACTTCCTTGCTCCTCAGTAGTCCCGTGTTTATGAAAGTCATCACACCCCTCATTTGTGCTTTGGCACGTGTGGTGGACTGGGCAGAGCTAACATGCAGTGAAGCCAAACGGGAATGAACACGGCTCCTGTAACTCTTCCCTAACAATAAATGGTAAGTAGTATTGCTATTGGTGTACAAAAACTTCCCGAAAGGCTGTATTAATAAACATACAGAATAGAAATAGTAAAATACAAGGCAGGTTTTGGGCAGGTTTGATGGTGATCAGAACAGGCCTCATTTACAAACAGACACGAGGCTTTGAGGATGAAAGGAAGGTGGCTTCCCTGAGCTTCCACTGCACTCAACATATGCCACCAGTTAGACTGGAATATAATGCAACACCACGTTATTCTCCAAGGAGGCATTTCTCCCAGGGATGCAGACAGTTAGGCAATGTCTAGCAACACCAGACCCAACACTTGCTATGAGGCAACATACTGGCACATAACAAGAGATAATCCCTATCGCAAGGTCTGTAAGAAGGCAGGTAAAGGTTTATAAGGCTGCAAAAACGTTAGGCAAATTGCCTAGAATCATGCAAAATTGCACTACATACATCTGGAAAGGGCAGCTGGGAGTTTTGACAGCTTAGATACATGGATGGCTTTTGGCATACACTGAAAGCACAAAAGTTTGCTGGAGTCACAGGTACAGAAGTTCCTGTTACTGACTTGAATTCCAACAACTATATTTCTGTTTCTGAGAGCATGCCACACGCAGCAATAATATATTAAAGACTTCACTGTTCATTTAAAAGCCATTCATATTATTGAATTAGTTACTGCAGATGTCAACGGGCATTGCCGATCTCCAGACTAAGTCCACTTGGAGCTGACTGTGGCTCTTCACATCGCTCAAAGCTGTCACATTTAGGTAGTCTCCAAGCCAAATTAGGAGACCTCACGTCATATATTGCCCTCTTGACAGCCTTAAAATGACTGGAACATACTTATTACTACACTACCAGTCTTACTCAACTGCTGCAAAATGACTGCAAAATTTTGGAAGAGAATTCTGCTTCTGCCACTGGGAACAAGGATGCTTGCAGGAAGCATATGGCATCCTGAAGACTAATCTAGGAAGTAAGTGGCCCCGCTGGATTGAAGCCCAATATTATTCACTTCCATGCCATTGGGAGAGGACAGTGGATATTGCAAGAGTAATTAAAAGATGGTGCTCACTTCATCAAGACAACCTGCTGCCTGTGATGAGGACTGCTGAGCCACACAGGCTACAAGCTGTCCCTTTGCCAAAAACTTCTCCTGACAACAGCTTAAATGTAGCAATTCTCTTCCTGGCAAAATTCTGAACTTGACAAGCAAAGGGCATTTGGTTTGGGATGAACCTGCCAGTAAAGTGCCAGGGAGAGCCCTGGCAGATGCACTTTGGCAGCCCTGATATGTAGCCCTCAGCAAGATGCAGACAGTTCAACTCCACAAAGTTTCCTGTGCACCCCACCTCAGCATGCTCTGAAATCAAAAAACAGAACAGAGAGAATTTTCGCCATATGTATTTATCTATTTATTCATTTATTGCCATTACTGATTCCTGTCGCTGTAATTTTACTAGTTGAATTGTTCTGCCTTGTCCTCTCTGAACATATTTTTAGGTAGAAGAAATTGGCCTATGGCCAATTTTTCTTTCCCTCCAAGTCAGGAATGCAGTCCTCCCACGACCATGTGGACAGCAATGTGATTTCTGGGATAATCCAGTACTTTCTTTGTGTAGCTCTAAGAGCAGCTTTCTTCCTGCCAAGCTGATAATCCCTTTCACGTTCAGTTAACTGTGTGAGCTTGAAATCAAAGACAGAGGAAAGAGGCAAACAACACCAAAGCGATTGTAAATAGCAACTTCAAAAATCTGTGTTTATAATATTGACCCTTCCTTAAAAGCTTATTCAAACTAGTCACATATATATATTTAAAATATGTTATATATATATTAAAGTTTGTAACATTTTAAAGGCTTTCTTAACTCAACAAATAGTGGACACTCCATCTCCCAGTGCTATGAGAGTCCCAGCCAAATAACGTGATTTCTCTGACAGTTTCTCATCCTTCTTTTAGAGGACAAAAAACAGAAGTAGAAGCAAAAAAAACCTTCCACACAGTTACAATTCTGGTTCAGCTAACAGTCTAGATATATAACAGGTAGAGACATAACAGGAAATTTTTGACAATTTAGAAAGTCTTATTGGGTCTAGTAAAAAGAGATTTTCCCAAACTAGAGAACTTAATCAACTTTCTGAATGTGATATATGTAACTCCCTCCATTCAGCTTTACTGATAAAACATCATTAAACAAATACCATCAAACTCACACTGACTTAGCTTAGAACACTTGAAAAAACATTTAAAAATTGAAAATACTTTTCGTAAGCCAGCTTACTGGCTCTTTACTGCTGTTTCCCCAGCTTTCACAGAAACAGAGTGCAACTGAGATGAGGAAGGAGCTCTATCTCAACCGTCGTGATCAAAGCAGGCTCAGCACTGGACTCAGATCAGCCTGCTCAAGACACTGCCCTAGGCACATCTTTAAACCCTCCAAGGACAGAGATCCCCCAGCCTCTCTGTGCAACTTCTTTGAGTGCTTGACTGTCTTTATTTCCCTTATTTCAAGCTGGAATCTTTTATTTTGTTTCAAATCCTTCCGCTGTGTACAGCTACTCTTCAGTCAAGTATGAAATGGCAATCTCAAACACATCAGCCTTGAGGCAGTAGCTTGTATCTGTGAAAACAGCAGCTATTTTACTTATGTATTAATATCTTTGTTCCCGATAGTATTTAACAGAGGGACTATGAATGTTAGAAGACTAGGGTCAGCTTTCTGTTGACAGAAACAGAATCAAATCTCTAGTCTTAATTTTTGCCTATATTATGATATATGACAAACAAAATGATGCATGTATGCACTACTTAGGACCAGGGGACATGCATGGAAATTTTAACTCAAATATTGATGAGCTGCTTATTCAATAATAAATACTAATATTATGTCTTGAAACCTTAAATCCCTGAAATGCTTTACAAGATTTGAACTTCACCTTGCAATCTACAAATATTAATTTGCAGTTATAGGAAGAAGTAATACATCTTAAACTGTCTATTTTTACTTTACAGTTAAAAACACTAGGCAGCTCAGAGCGAAGAAAGTAACAGGATTTCCAATGACAACAAAAAGGAAAATACTAGGCAAGCCATTTTTCCAGTAACAAAATTAGGTATTAAATCAAGATCATCCGAATCACAGTAAAATACTTTAACCGTTAGAATCATAGAACTTTTTTGTTTTCTTTTTAAACCTTTGATATATCTCTAGAATATTAATCTTGGCTCCATTTTTGCTCTGAATATGCTAAAAGCATTTTTCATTGCAAAACAGAGTTATACATGCATGTTGGTAATGAAACCGATTTCCCTGAAGTGTTTAATGACTCATGAGTTCTGACTGCTGACAAACATTAGTTTGATTCATATTGTTCTAAGACTTCTATAAGGCAACAAATTTCATACATAATTTATTCACAGCAATGTACAAATAATGTAGAAATATACTGCTCCTCTAGAAGAAAAGAAACAATTTGATTTTAAAATCTTCCCTCCAAATCTTCAAATTCCCTCCTCAAATCTTAATAGGTCCTAACATTTGATCAGCCAGGGAATAAAATCCATTTCTTTCTTTGGCGATAATCAACAGCTCCTAATCAATACAACTTCAAACACAAAATCAGAGACCTAATAGAGGTTTTTAATTACATACCAAGTTT